CAATTTCTCTCTTACTAATGGGGAGCCTATACCCTAATTCCATCAAAGTGATCTTTCCTTCCTAATTTTTATTTCTACCCAAATATTTTCACTGGGCGATTTTTCAGAAATATGTCTCCTAGTTACTGCAGTAATGTATTCCTTAATCAAAAAAGCCACCCCCAGCCTCCTTTCTGGCCTCTTTTTTTATGCTTCCTATAGCATCTAAAACCCAGAACAATGAACTTGTTCATCTCTCAGCCAAGTTTCTGTAATAGCTATGACGTCCCAATCCCATGTTTTAAAAGATGCCCTGAGTTCATCAGCCTTATCTCTAAGACCCCTGCATTGAAATAAATGCAATTTAGTTCTTCGAAGTTACTACATACTCCGCCTCTCTTGTCTTTCTTTTCTAACTGACGTGCTCTCGTCACATTCAGAACCTACCTTATCACTCCTTCCATTTACTCTGCTACTTAGAACTCCCCCACTCACCTGCTCTATCAGTATAAAGTCTCCCTTAATAGCATGAGCAAATCTCCCTGCTAAGATATTGGTCCCTTTGCAGTTTAGGTTAGACCCATCATTTTTTAGTAGGTCTTTTCTATCCAAAAAGACAGTCCAATTGTTCAAAAACCTGAATCCCTGAACAATACACCAGCTCGTCAGCCATTGACTTATCTCCTTTAACCTTTTGTTCCTTCCCTGATTTGGGTTTGTTGTTGGGAGTAAACCAGAAATTACTACGTTAAAGGTTTTATTTTTTAATCTTCTACCTAACCGCTTAAATTTACTCTGTACAGCTTTAATCTTTGTCTTTAAAAAAATCCCCTCCAAAGTGTACAATAATTTCTGGCTTCTCAATCTCACCTTTAATAATATACTTGAAACATTTAGAAAAGTCCTTAATCCTAGCACCAGGAAAGCCACAAACCATCCTAAATTTATGCTCACTGCCACAGAATCGCCTATCCAATCACCTATAACAATAGTTCTATTAAATCTTGTCAAACGCTGCCTAAGATAAGAATCATTCCAAGTGTCCAATAACTGAGTGGCCCTTCCATTTTCCTCAGAGAGACTATTCCCTTCAACTGTTTCAAAAGCTGAATATCTATTTGATAGAGGAATAGCCATCGGACACTTTTAAACTACCTTCTTACATCTTCTGACAGTCACCCATCTATCTGACCGAGCCTGCCGTGTAATAATTTGTCAAAATCTACTAGCCATCTCAATACCTACTGGAAATAATGTTAAAATGGAAAAAAAGTATTAAAAATATATACATCAAACAAATAAAAAGTAAATGAAATCAATCACTCAGCTGATTAACTGAATTAAAATGATTCCTCTTCAATAAATTCCTTGAAGAAAAGAAAATCTTGTCCGAAGCTGACCATGTGTAGGACTCTCCGGAACAAAAACACAACTCCTTATTTATAAAAAAACTGTTTGGTTTTGCATTGTAAAAAAAAACCCTCTAAAACACATATGGACTTTTCTAATATCTAAATTAAGAATAAAAAAAACCTCAACCATTCACTGAAGACCCTTTAAAATACCATTTTTAAAAAAGTCCATTTGAAAAAAAATCATGATTTCTTTGGTTTATTTGAATGTTAATAAAACAAAATAGAAAAGAATCTTGTATTAATAAACTATGATGACTGATAACTGTAAAACTGCAAAAAAAACCCTAATAAATCTTTAACTAAGTCTGCAATCCCAGGAGCAGTAGCAAGATCCATGCTGCTCCAAGCCTGATATCAGTTGCATTAGTGTCTCTGTCAATGAAAGTCAAGATATTTATCTTTATTACTGCTTTGATAGGGAAATGAGACAACTCAGTTGTAGGAATTGGAGATGGCATGCTGTCACAGGCAGAGGCACTTGAAATGAAGCTGGAGCCTTGCTGTATTAAATTGAAAATCAACTCTGCGATAACACAAAATGCCTGCCAGACCATGCAGACCGGGTGGTGTAAGTTGCTTGGCTGAACTTTACAAGTGTCAATTTGGTCAAGCTTCATGGAGAGGCTTCTCCATGAGGCCTAGCAGGATTTCTTGCACATATTTTCTGAAACTGGCCTCATTAGCAATGCACCATGCCTCTACAGCATCTCGGTCATCGTGTCTTCCCTCTAACCACAGGGAGAAGTGCTGGTGGCACTGACTGGAATTCTCAGGGTCACTGCATATTTACCAGATTCAGCACTATCAGTTAACAGCTGGCCTGCATGGTTCCTTCGCCTGAACAGTTGCCCCAGGACATGGCAGACAGAGGAAAATTGTCAGCCCGCCTTGCCGACAGCATCCTGGAGGTCCTGGTGGATAGGGGTGAAAAGAATCATTGTCCATAGTTCCACTGCTTCCCATTACAGCCCGTGTAAATGTACTCTTCACCAGCCCTTTCTCATGATTCAGTCTTTCTTTTGTCTCCTGCAGGCAACAGTGGAATCTGCACAGTTTTGGTCATCAAGAATAAATGCTGACAGGATGTTCCCAGTTATGGGGGAGTCTAGGATCAGAGGGCACAGTCTCAGAGAAAAGGGCACCAATTTGAGACTGAGATGAGGAGGAATTTCTTCTCTCAGAGGGTTGTCAGCCTTTGGAACTTCTTGCCACAGAGGGCTGTAAGGGCAGAAACGTTGTGTATATTTAAGACTGGGATAAATAAATTACCGAGCAGGAGGGGAATCAAGGGTTACTGGGAAGGGCAGGAAAGTGGATGTGAGGAATGTTGGATCAACGATGATCCTATTGAAAGCCAGATCAGGCGCAAGTGGACGAACAGTCTCCCTCGACTGATAGATACATTGGGGATGTAATTGATGCCAATTTCACCACAGCATCTCTCTACACATCCTTCCCTACGTTGAGGAGAATGAATCAGTCAGGGAAGTGGGACTCTCCACCACCACTGGCTTCCCCCAGTTGAAGGGCACTATCGACTGCACTCATGCTCTCTTGAGAGCATCCTATCACAAACCCACAGACTTTTTCAACAGGAAAGAGTTCCACCCCATCAGTATTGAAATTATATGTGACCGGCAATGCCAAATTCTGGAGATCTGTGGCATATATTCCAGGATCATGATTGCTCCTTACCAGAAAATTCAGATTCCTGCCTCCTTGCAAGGTCCTCAAGCCTTAGCCATGGCAGACCATGCAACCTACTCACCAAAAACACTTTAACTGCAAATTGCAAAATTTCACCCATGGGGAGTGATGTCCCATTTTATTTTTCTTGCATTTTAACAAATTAAGTCATACTGTCACCTCTCGTTTTAAATTAGCATTTTATAAACTTCATGAGGATCCTTACCCACCCCAAACTTTTCCTATCTACAGCCTTTCAAAATTCAAAATCAGCATTACATTGCTTCTTGATTTAACTCTTTTCTGTGCTGATCCTCAATGGTATCCTGCATTCATTGTTAAACTCAACACAAGGCTTTGAGAACTTGCAAATGTCTGTCAAATGTCCAACAACGTCCAAATTGCAAAACTTAACTGCATTATAAAAATCAAGAGAAGGGAATTCTTCAAAGTGTTTCTTAGGTACAATTATTGTTAAACATGCAGAAACCAAAGGCTTTGTACTATTATCATACAGCTGCTTAAGACTTGACTCTGAGATTTTGCATTTCTAGTGAGATGCTGTGCTTGAAGCAAACAGTAGACAGAACGCAATGATATAGCCTTAATTCTTCCATCTGCGTTAATTGCAAATAGAGATCGCCATTTTGAAGCATAGGATCACAAAGTTATCACACTAGGATATATGAAGCAAATGTATCTTTTGTTTTAAGAGACACATAACTCATCTGAAATAAGTGGATCACACTTCTGTTAAAATAACAGAGAGAGGAATTTGATGCCAGGATATGAAGTATTGTTATAACAATATTGCATAGTATTGTTTCATGACTGCTGGCTATGAAGTTAATCATCACTCAGCCATTTATGTTTTCCTTAAATCATTATTATTACAATTGGTTTTGAGTTTTGTGGGTGTTGATTTCGGAAACAAAAGTATAATGTTTTATTTACGTTGAGGAGAGACCATTTGTGAGCACTGTCTTTTGTGAGGGCTTTATGACCCTGGAGAAAACTTGTGATGATGTCATGAAGCCTTTCCTCACTTGGCGTAAATAGTACAGTGTCAGCAGAGTTAAAAAGTGAAATATGCACAGCAAGGTAGGAGCCAGAATGTTAGAATGCAGAGTAACATTTGAAATAAATCAGCTATCTTTAAACAATAGAGTTTGTGGAGTAGTCTTTCAATAGTGTAACAACAAGATTAGAGCCTGGTATGTCTTTTTTATTATTCATCATAGAACCTTGTTGCATCATGTTCAATAGTGCATGCTGATAACAAAATGTTAGCAGAAAAAGAACTGATCAGAAATAGTAAAATCAAACTATCACTATGTGTAAACATATCACATTTACACCTCGATTCCACCCTCGGGCGACTGTGTGGAGTTTGCACATTCTCCCTGTGTCTACATGTGTTTCCTCTGGGTGCTCCAGTTTCCTCCCACAGTCCAAAGATGTGCAGGTTAGGTGGATTGGCCATGCTACATTGCCCGTGCTGTCCAGGGAGGTGCAGGTTAGGTGGATTAGCCATGGAAAATGCAGGGTTACAGGGATGGGGTAGGGGTATGCGTCTGATTGGGATGCTCTCCAGACGGTCGTTGTGGACTCATTGGACCAACTGGCCTGTTTCCACACTGTAGGGTATCATTTAATATACAGAAGTCACAAATCACATTTTTAAAATTCTTAACTGTGAACCAGTAGTAAAGATAACTGTCATTAGGTCATTTAACAACACAGCATAATCGCCTTCCTCTAGTAACCAACAGATGGTGATGCTTCATAATTTCATGCAGGTGCCTCACACAAAGTACCAGAAATTGAGAACAATAAGAAAGAAAGTGAAATAAGGGGAGAGAATTGTAACAAATGAAATCTGTTCAAACATGTGGCTACAATCCATAAATACATTCTTTATTTTTTAAACATCTTGGCATTGAGAACATCAATTGCCATCATTCGAGACTCTCCATATATCAATTCAATGGTTCTGTTGTTGGCCATTTCTGCAGCCATTTTATCTTAGTCAGTTCTCCACCGTGGTCTCACTCCATCATAGTTCTGCCAAAATCATTAAAACACTCTTCCATCTTGCTCCTGTGCTGCCTACATTTCACACATAATTGCATTTGATTCAATGCTCAACAACCTACTCAATAGGGTATGACACAAATCATTGGCCACAATCAAAGTGTACAGGTTCATAAATATTCGAATTTAGCCAATGTAACATTAATAACTGCCATGCACAATCAGTCACTTTAAATGACAACTTGTGTATTTCCAAGAAGAAATCATATTTCCAAAAGTAATATGAATGTTTGGGAAAAGGTTTGCTAATGTGTGGCACAGCTTGTATAGTGCTTTGCTTTCAAAATAAATACAACTTTCCCTGGCAACATAATAAGTGGGTTGCTTGACATGGTTTTGCTAAACCAAAAAGGCTGGAAGATCCCAAGTTTTGACATCCTGGTCTGTATCGACTTAGTTGAGCTCAGTTGAGGCAGTTCATATTCTATAGTCTTGGCAATGAAGGAATAGGGAGAGTCTAAGGTTCCTCCTTATGATCCAACAGAGGTTTTGGAAAGTAGGTGCTGATGAGGGTTTGCTTGGAAGTTTATAGATCCTACAAGAGTTAGAAACATGGGAACATACGAACCAGGTTCAGAAAAACGCCGTTCGGCTCTTGTCATTCAATATAGCTGATATGTCTGTGTTCAATATTTCATATTCCTATCTACCCTCAAACTTTGATTCCCTTGCCTGCTAAGAATCTACTTCCATCTCAAAAATATGCAATGAGCACGCCATCAACAACAACAACTCAGTTAGAGATCTCCAAAATTGCACAAGCTTCTGAGTGAGAAAAAATGTCCCCTCATTTTGTCCTAATAGTGGGGTGGCTTCTAGTTTTAAAAGTGTCCCTCAGTGCTGGGCTCACCCACAAGAGGAAATATCCTTTCCACGTCCACAGCATCAAGATCATTCAGAAATTCAGCGTTCCCTCTCAGCTGTGCAACACAGACACAATTGTTTCGATATTCCGTCCATGGCAACTGGAGTGCTGACATGGATCACAGCACTGACTTCAAGTTCTGGAACCTGCTGCTGCACACTAACCACCTAGATTCATGCAGAAGGAAAACAAATTAGAGGGAATGCTGTTCAGGATCTTATAAACTTCACTCAAATCACCCCTCACTCTTCTAAATTCTTGCAGAAACAAGCCAAGCCTGTCCATGTATTCCTCATAAGAGAAGCCACTTATTCCAGGTATCAATCTAGCAAATTTCTACTGAACTGTTTCTTTTACCTTTATATCCTTTCTTAAATGAGAGGACCAAATTGTGCACAGAGTTCAAGATATAATCTCACTAATACCCTGTAAAGCCAGCGTATGGCCTCCTTACTTTTATGTTCAATTCTTTTCATGATAAAGGATAGCACATAGCACAACATTTGCGTTCTTAATCACTTCCTATACCAATTTTACTAACATTTTGGGATTCATGATCTAGAACATCTTCATCCCATTGCACCTTGGAATTCAACCATCACTGTCCACTTAAATAATTCTTTCTGCCAACATGAACAAATCCATATTTCCTGCTAAAATGAAACTAAGAACTGTGGATGCTGGCTATAGAGAAAAAGAGGGTCACTTGGACTCGAAATGTTAATATTGTTTTGTGTCCACAAATGCTGCCAGACCTACTGAGTTTCTCCAGCAATTTCTGTTTTTGTTTGTCCCCAATTTTCTCACATCATACTCCATTTGCCAGATTTTTACCCTTCACTTGTCCCATGCAGAACAGCCTGCATTCTTGTTATGTCACCTTCACAATATACTTTCCAAACTATCTTTCTGTCATCTGTAAATATAGCCATTGTGCTTTTGAACCCCTCATTCACGTCATTGATATAAATTGTAAAAAAAAACTGAGGGCCCAATACAGATGCTTGCAGGAGCCCACTCATCACATCCTGAAAATCTGAAAAAGGCCCGTTTGTACAAATTGTCTGTTTCCGCCAGTCAGCCCATCTGCTATCCATGCTAACATTCACCCATAGACCGTGAGCTCCTACTTTGCACTGTAACACTTTATACAGATACTTGCCAAATGCCTTCTGGAAATTTAAGCATTCTTACATCAACAGGTACCCCTTTATCCACATTACTTGTTACTCCTTCAAAGAATTCAAAGAAGTTGGTTAAACACAGTTTCTCTTTCACTGCTGACTATTCCTGGGCATTTTTGGGACATTGTGTCTTCTAAGTGCCGAGTTACAACTTCTTTAGTGATTGCCTCTAACAGCTTTCCTGTGAGAAATGCCAAGATAATTGGCCTATACTTTATAGTTTTCTACCTCCCTTCCTCTTGAATAGATGAGTTACATTTGCTACTTTCCAGTCTCATAGAACCATTCCAGAATCTAAAAAATCTTAAAAAATTAACACCAATACTTCTCATATTTCATTAGCCACCTTTTTAAGACCCCAGGATGAAATCCACCAGGACATAAAGGCTTAGTAGCCTATAGCTCCATCAGTTTGTTCAATGTTACTTCCCTCATGATCTTTCTCCTTTCCAGATACCAATGCAAACATTTCCTATCTGTTTTGACATTTCTAGCTAGCTTTCTTTCATACTTACTCGCATTCTGCCTGACATGGGGGTTCCATGGCAGCTTGCTGCTGCTCCTGGGCTTAGTTGTCACATCTGCTTGTCCTCCCATCACGTTTCAGCAAGACAATTACTTGGACCAATATCCTACCTGTAGCTGCATCCATGGCTCCCATTGGCAGCGACCTGCGTTGGGAGCATCATGAACAGAACAGGCTCTCAGTTTAGTGAAGTGCAAAGACCATCCCTTTTCATTTTTGTAAAATTGTGAACTGATTGAGAAAGAACTATTTTAAAACCAGGGCTTTAAAGGATTTTTGCATGTTTTGAAAAGTAAACAAGCTGACACTTATGCCAAGTACAGTGTAAAAAGCTGTTGGATCAAGCTGTATTTGAAGCTGCCACAAATAAATTGGAGCAGAGGGTGCTGTATATGGATGTAGCTGGATGGGTCTATGGACTAGTGACCAGTTATCAATGGCAGAAGCTCTCTGCCTGCCAACCATTGTATGATTAGTTCTCAGGTAAATGAATAACTTGGGGCCAGGAACAAGATACAGAGAGAAATACTTTAACTCTATCAACACAGAAGTGTTCTCTGCAATCAAACTAATTTCAAACTTGAAGAAAAACAGTTCATTTCTCCTTTAGCAGTTGTTGTAAGCTGTGACTTTTAACTGCTAAGTTAAAGACCTTTTATAAGTTAACCAGCCACCTCATGTGTCTTCCAAAGAAAGACAGCTGAAAAGCAGTGTTTCACCCAGCATAAGAATCAACTCAGTAACCCGTGAATGGGAACTATTGAACTGCCTCCCAGTTTTCCTCTGCCCATAACAATGTTTCCCTGTCTGTTTGTTTTTCTGTCTATGTATGTGTAAGGTGCAGTTTATAAGGGGTTACAAGTTTTTTTTTTGCATTGTATGGCAAATCTTTGTAATTATTTATTTGAATGAGAGTCTAATTATTTTTAATAAATAGTAATTCTTTAGCACTGAAATCTGGTCTATGCTTTCTATCAATTTAAGTCTGAAAGTCAGATAAATTGGGGAACTGTGTGTACTTATTTTAAAATCTTTAACTTTTGTGATGGCTGCGGGAATAACGGGACATTATTTCTAGTGTGCTAGCCCAGTGAGGAGTAACAGAAGGCTCAGTGCTGGTATATCCTGAAAATGATAGTTGCACATACTCCTCCACTCAATGAAACATGCGCCACCTCAATCACACGAGCCATGTATGGAGTTCTCATGACTGTTGAGGACAGCTACCTAATTGGTGGAGGTACTGTACTGACTGGGTGAGCAACACAGAACAGTGTCTTGGGATTGTTCCATGCACTCTGAACTCTTCCCATCCAAGCCCCAAATCAACCCTGGAAGTTGTTTTGCAGTAGTGTCTGTAGTGTCTATCATTAAAGGCACAGTGCAAGCTTATAGCAATCAATTCTAAGCCCCACAGATACTGCTGTTTGCAGTCAGTGTCTGTTTCTTTTACAGTCAGTGGTGATAACGTCTGCTTCATTGAGATCTCTGTCCTCAATTTGCAAGGACCAATGATAAGGCGAATGATGCCCGTGGCTAGGCCTTGAAATCCAAACAATTTCACATAGCATGCATCTCAAATACTCAATGATATGATTGCAAGTGAAGAATATCTGCATTTTGCAAGTGCAGGCTTAATGTCTTGCCTCTTTCAATGTCCTCCCATCCAGCAAAAGTGGAGCCCATGCTTTCACCCATCAAACTAACATTGCCCACCCTGACAGCTGGCACAAGCATTTTCTAGTTGCGGGTCACTTCTAGCAGACAGTAAGTGATGACAAGGAATGCAACTCACAGTGGGCATCCAGAGCATTTGGTTTGGTCTGGTCTGGATGTCAGGTACCATTTTACTTTGGACTTCCTGGACAGCTCATTTCCACCACCTTCCCCTCCAATAACCCCAATGTAGAAACATTCTACATATGACTAAATCCACCTCCAACGTTCCTCTTTGCCCACAACTCCCAGCAATACACTTTGATGATACTCACTGTGGTCCGGTATGCTCCCTCTGTGGAGACAATGGTGGGGGTCATTGCCAATAACTTCCCCTTATGTAGCATTCCATGTGCTCCCATTGTTTATTGCTTAACCCCTTATTCCTTTCGTTCAATCCCCATCTCAACATACATTTCTGCGCTTCCCTCACAGCCTTGAAAGAAACATTTTATTGCTTTACAAACACCAAGTAAATAATAAAATTCAACATAAAACACACACACAGACACAGACATAGATACAGGAGATTGTGCCTGGTACAGAAAGAAAGACTAACGTTTAAAAGTCCTTAGAGTTCTTGAGGCTTTGGATTTCAACCAGAGAATACAGTTTAATAGTTGACATTTACTCTCAGCAGTAGCAAAATCTCTAGATAGCTTTAGGTTCTTGATGAATTGTTGTATCTCCAATCTGCCTTTGTTACCAAGTACTATTTTTTTTGAGATGATAAGGGGGAAACATTGAAAGAAACTTTTAGTCTTTCATGTTACCAATCCACTTTTCTGTCTCTTTTATACAACTCAAAATGAACAATTAAGATCCAGTTTCTTTCTGTATTTTACCAGTGCCAACTGGTCTGATTATTTGTGATCCTAACTGGACACGGAGTTCGTCACTTGCCTTTGAGTTGTTCCAGTGAAAAGCTCAAACAACTATCTTGGCAGGGTTTGGTCAATGTCTCCATCTTCTGAAGTAGACTTGCAGATAGCATGGATTTGCAATGAGTGTTTTCTCAATGTTCTGAATTTCTTTAGTCTGGAAACGCAGGCCGAATTTATCAGTACACAGGAAGAGACGTGACTTTGTGGCAGCAAGATCACTAAAGAAAACCACTGTTGGTTATGAGCAAGCAGTTGACTTGATTTCCAAGGTTCAATTGGAACTGTAAGATGCTGAAACGTGGATTTGATTCATTGGAGAGTTTGAGGGGGAGGGGTTGTGGCATGTCTGCTGCCAGGGTCTCAGCTTGCTTAAACAGGAAGTATTTCACTACCTCATATGTTATTGACTGCAGTGTGCAGGAGTCTGCAACAGTTTAGGAACTTCTTGAGGGATGTGCTGCAGGATGTCCCACCATCCTGCGGAGGTTCCAGAGCAAGACCTTCAAGATGGCCCAGTTAATGCAGTGCCCTTGTTGTCAAGATCCTCCCTTCAGCATACCATTGCACACTACATGGACAGCAGTCAAGGAAGGGAAAGGTGTACAACCACCTTCTCAAGGGCAACTAATGATCAGCAGTAAGTGGTGGCCTTGCCAGCAATGCCCATATTCCAGAAAATAACTGCATCGAAACAAACCCATGGTCACTTCTTTGTGTGATTGCTCTTATCCTTGTCTATTCTGATGTCTGTACTATTTTACAGGATGTTTCCCAAGGCTATTGTGAAACAAAAATGTATGCTGTACAGTTTCTCAACATGAGGAACATGTAAAATTTAAGAAAAGCATTGAATATTGCCCTGCACACACCCCCCCTGCATACACACACACACACGCACACACATAGGCACACACACGCACACACATAGGCACACACACGC